CTTGTGGTTTATTTATGGTGTGTTTAGAATCATCATAATGTTGCATGAATCTGATTTAGCAAGTTTCATGGATGTGATGTGAAATAATAAAGTTAGATCTGTAGTTCATATGAATTAACCAAATAAACAAATCACATAACATATGGAGTTTGCTCTCTCTGAGCTTACAAAAGTTACAAATAAACTAAGAAGTAAATCATCATAGTGTCAAGTCAAGACAGGAGAAAATTAAGGATGTTAGATAATCTTTTTCCTCAACTCAGTTGGGTTTGATATCTCTAAAGCTAAAAAGCATGTCAGCAGACAAACAAGAGCAGCAAATGCTAAACTTACAAAGGCATTTAAGATGATGGGTTTTTGTGTTTGTGATCTGATGAATTATTCAGGACTGCAGCAACAATGTTTCTGCAAGCTTGCTTGAACAGATCAAATCCATTGTATCTATAATGATTGTTGATGGGTCCTTGGATGAGTTAATTAATTATAGAACCAGGATTGGCAGGCAAAGCAAGATCTTTCTGCATCTAAATGTAATTATATTGACTAAATTATTTAGGTCAAATTGATCTTGACTTGGTGGTAAAGACAACTCAAGGAGAGGTGGAGATGGAAACATGCATTGATTAGCTCCTGTATGTATACTTCTCAATTCATTGGATATGGAGCACCACATTAACTACTTGAGTTCTCAATGCTTTGCAGTGGATGTTGATGGAATGCATCCTATAGTGTCTTCCTTCCATCCATACTCAAATCAAAATATACTCTAAAATAAAGATATATAAGATTAAAAAAAATTATTATAACAGGAGTGATCATAAATAATAAATATTTTTTTTAGTGTTCTAACATACGATGATCGAAAGTCTTTTCCGGCTAAGCTACCTCATACATTCAATTAGATCATAAAATAATACCTTATTTTCTCCCACATCTAAGTACAAATCAGAAACTTATAATTCCTTAAAGTGCAAGAGAACAATGTCATCCAAGCCATGACAATGGAAGAACACATCCCAAAGTAGCATAGGATGGAGTAAAACCCCAACAAATTTGAGCTGGTGGTGTACTGCCAAAACCTTAAAACCCTAACCCTAGGGTTCTTAAAGCTACTTTTGTGGCCTGAGGTACACCAACACCATCACTCACTTTCTTATACTTGCGGTGTTGGTGACACCCTTCCCTTCACTCCCAAGCTTGTCATAAGCTTTGTTCACTAAAGAGAAAGAATGCGTGAGATGGTTGTGGAAGAGCAGAAGCACTCAGCTTTTTGGATTGCAGAGGTTGACATGCGTATGTGGGATTCAGCTTTTATCGTCCATCTAAAACGTATCCCAAGAAGAAGGAGAAGAAGAAGAGAGCAATCTACCCAACTCTTCTGAGGCATGAGTTCCAAGTTCCAACTATAACAGCAAGCAAAGTAATGGGGTCATGATGGGTTGAGGGAGAGTCAATGGCCACAGGGGTTTGCATAGGGTGTCTTCCTGTCTCCTTTGCGACATGATGAGAGGCGATGCCACTTTTCTCAGGCCTCCTCTCCCTTGTCTCCTCCCCCCTCCTTTTTCTTTCACAAAAGGAGAGGAGTGCACCGGATAAGGTGGCCTGTTCTTGGCATTCCATCAGAGGCATGCTTCCCCCCACAACTTTGTTAGGGGTGGGGGAAGCGAGAGCAAGCCCATGGGGTCCAGGACCACCCGTTTGGGTGGTGGTCGTGGTGGTGGCGGGTGGTTACCGCCGGCCGTGATCCACCATGCATGTGTTCCTCCGAGAACTCAACTGCAAATGCCATGAACAGTGGTTCACTGGCCTTGCAGTGTTCATTAATGATGGACTTGGTCGAGATGAATCGATCAAGTTTGCATGCAATTATGATTAACCTCAACCATGGAGAGTTTATTGCAAGCATGCATTCATGATTAGAGATCCAACAGGAGTGCTTCTGATAATAACTAGAGGATTTTGTTGGTAGATTGTATCTGCTTGCATTCTTCATCATTCAAATTGTTTGAATTCTTTCTTTAACTCTCTCTCTCTCTCTCTCTCTCTCTCTCTCTCAACTTTCAAGATTTTGTTAGCTGCATGCATGCATCATCATACAAGATTAAGAGACAATCATCAAGTTAAGGACATGATGATTGTGTCTTAAGGAGAGAACATGACAGTGATTGCTATTCCAAAAGGACATGCACTACTCCTAAGAGCATGGGAGGCAAGAAACTTGGAATAGAGGGGAGAGATAAGGAACAACCCCACGATTGAAGAGGTGCAATCCTTTAATTTATATGGGATGCAATAGATTTTATACAGTCAATCAGTCATTGTCCCTTAAAGCCTCAATTCTAATTGTGTTTCCAGTGTGTCACAACAACATGTAATCATATCTGTCTGATCTGTGCCATTCCATCCCTTTGGCTGCATTCATATGATGTCAAAGAGAGTGAGCCAAAAAGCTTGAGAGAAACATATTTAAGCAGAAGAACAACACAGTTAGTACTTAAATGGCACACAGAAAAAAGAACACATTTTCATGCACGCAGAAGGATCTTTATCCGGTCGTATTGTGAGTAATTTTTTGACGAACATGATCGAAACTTATATAATCACTAAGTGAAGGGGGATGTAGTTTCTTGCCAATGGCAGAAGAGCAAATGCTGAAACTGGAACTCAATGAAAGAGACACTGATGTAGATATTGTTTGAGTTCTGATGATGATGATGGAAACATGCAAGTACTTGGAGAGCCATCATTGCCCAACCTTGACCCATTAAATCACAGGGAGAGGAAGAGTTCAATGGTCACCCTTCCATCAAGATTGAAGTGGACATTTGCATCTCCATCTATGTATGGATCATCAGAGAATCTGCATCTTTGAAGGTCAGCTAAGAAAATTTCATATACATGTTTTTATTTTCCAGTTGAAATGGAGGTACAAATCATGCAAGCTAAAGTTTTCATCTTCCAATTTCTTTCTAACATCAAAAGAAACACAAACCATCTTCCTGTAATCTTGCACTGACCTACTGAATTCTAATTAATTAGATGTCACTTGGGTGTTTGTTCCACTGAGGCCCAAACTGGCTATTGCAAACAAAATTAATGGAACAGAAGTTTAAATTGTGGCAAATATGCTACAAATATATATCAGATATTTAAAATTCTAATTTTTGCTTTTAAATCAATATATTATGTCATATCATTTAGTAATCCATGATAGTTGTAATAATAGTTAAATGTTAAGATAAATTGATGTGTGTATACATATATATATAGGGAAAATGCTAAGTTACAGTATTAAGTATGTTGTCATAAAAATGGTTTTCTTCCTAAGTGGAGAGCCTCTTAGAAAGTTGTATCTGTCATTGAAGGTATTAATATAAATTTGTTCTCTAATGAATCTAAATAGTTTTTATGCATTATAGAAACTTTAGGAAGAATAAAATAATTATTTGATCTTCAGATTTTTTTGTGGTGATGCTGAATTGGTTTCAAATACTTATTTCATGTGAGTCAGTATTTATAAGAATTAAAACCTTGGATGATGATTAAGACATAAGCTGAGCATTTGCAGCCAAAACCTGCATGTATTTTTCTAGTCACCATGTCACAAGCACCAATCTGCCAAAGTTCATGTGTGTCTCAGCTCAGATACAGGAGAACCCTCCTAACAGGATGATGTCAAGGTAACCCCTACCTTGGTCTTATTTCATCACAAGAACTCTACTAACCTACATGGATCAGACACAGTAGCAAACTGAAGGCAGCAATGGCGGAACTGCTCCTCCATTTATTTCTGTACTCCATCGTGGAGTCTATGGGATTCTGCATGACGAGAAAGAGCACAAGTCAACAGATGATGGATGCAGTGGTGAGCAGGAGAAGAAGACGAGCATGAAATGAGAGAGCAAGTCTCACGAGTTGCAGTTGGTCCTCGTGCTGAGGCGGAAGGCAAGAGACACGGAGCAGAGGCCGGGGAGGGCGCTCAAGTTCTGGTCTCTGATGTTCTTGATGCGCCCCTCCCTCGACTTCAGGCAGTTGCAGGCGGTCCGCCGAGCGGCGGTGGTCGACGCCAGAGAGTGCAGCCTGCGGACGCCGGCGCAGCAAGCCGCCGTCGGGCGTGGCTGCTTCCCCGTCACGTAGGCGACGCAGGAGCCGATGGTGGAGCTCACGTCTTGGCAGGTGATGGCCCCGGCCGGCTCCACCACCAGGTGGGCGACGGCGAGAACCAGGAGAAGGCCAGCTATCACCCTCCCCATCCTCCTCTTTCTCTGGCTGGCTTTAGCTCCTACGCGATACTGTGCTCTCTGGTACTGCAACATCGAAGGAAGGAAAGGGTTTCTTATAGACTGATCTCCGCGGTATAGATTTGGACGCGACCAGGCTTAGAACAGTAAAAATGGTTGCTTGCCCGAGTTGGTCGACAGCTGACGAGAAGATCACATGGCGGAAGAGCTGTTTCTTTGTGGAGCTGTCGATCGATAGAGCAGGTGGATGAAAGATGCAACAGAGTTTGTGGACCTCTTACGTGAGAGGTAAACGCTCCTTGTTCATTTGTGTATGATGACTGACTTCATCTAGTTTTTCTCTCTCTCTACAGCATGGCGTCACCGCCATTAACGCTTCTTGCATGCTTCTGCTACATCGGTGACAGGCATCTGTAGTCATCCAGTTGATAGATACATGAAATTGAAGATATATATATGAATTGCAAGTGTAAGTTTCGGTTCCCTTACCTCATATCCTTGCCATGACATCTTGTGCTTCCATGACATGATCAAGCACAGTTTCTGCTGAATAATGAACAAGAGAATTGAATGTAATCAACATGAGAGCATCAAGTGTTATTTTCAGGTATTTCTCCAAAGAAAACCAGTTGCTTTCAACCAGAAGACAGTTGTATTGCAACCAAGGTTATGTCCTTGTTTCATTCAGATGACACAACATAGGGTGAAATGTTCTCTCTTTCAAAGCACCATTCTTCATACAGATCTTTAACAGATGAACTTTCATAGTTTTGGCAGACAGAAATGTGCCTATTTTCAATTACAAGAGAGTGATTTGGTAGAAACTTAAAATCTAGAGATAAAAGTCATAAATGTCAGTGTTAATACAATTATCAGGAGCTCTTAAATGTGAAATTACGGCAATAGTATACAATGATTGACCAAGACCAGAAAGATAAACTTATCCATTTCTGTTGGCATAAAGAAAGAACAAAAGTGACAGTGTAGATAAAGATTATTTGCTTTGCTGGATGATTAAGCACTAAACTTTTTAGGATCACATGAAAACCATGTATTAATGGACTTTTAATGATGGGAAGGACACAACCTGCTTAAGTGTCTGAGAAGTAGGAGATACTTCAATGACAGCAGCATCCACCTGAGATGCTTGATGACTTCTAGATATACTCCCCTTTCAATCCTCCATCAAGCTCTTCTTTTTGAAATATTTTATAAGGCAGATAATAAACACCACAAAATGATATCTTATCCTTGTCACATAATGAAGAATTTAACCTTAAAATGGGAGAGCATAACCTTGACCATATCTGCTTCATCTATGTCCTGTAGATATCCCATTATTTACTGCAAAGCATGTCTTCAACCTCAACACTGCTTCATCTATGTCCTGTAGATACCCCATTATTTACTGCAAAGCATGTCTTCAATCTCAACACTATCACCAACTTAACCATATGCCTATAAAATTTTTCTCTGAGCCATCTTCTATTACTTATCTTCAAATTGCAAAAGTATAAATGCTGCAATAATGGACTTAAGTCATTACTTCATAATGGAAATAGTTTAGTCATTACAGTAACCAATGAAGATATACAGAACAGGTAACTTCATGTGCTGGCATAATGAAAGATATTTTGTGATGCAAAGCATTAACCTTTTTCACTTCAAAGTAGCTAACATGTTTACAATAGATTAGCATACCAATTCAGATCATGTCATAGGAGGCATATCCAAGCGGTCTTCTCACAAATCTTCTGTCTCATGCCTATAAGAGGACGCATACCAATGCAAGTTGTCAATAACAGATGAATTGGATCTAAATTCTAAAATTTGATTAAAATTGTAATACAGATGGTTCAATAAATACACTTAGCTTTGACATGAATATGCAACTCAATCTGTGAACCCTAGCAATGCATGGGGAACACTTGGCTTGCCAACTTACCTGGAAGAGGATTTATATTGTTTATGTCGCTGACCATTGACCTTAAGAACATGCACCAAAAATTCGCCAAAGCCCAAACCGAGGACTTGAATCAATGACAGGTGAAAAATATTTCTCGATAAAGATCATTAATCAAAATTCTAAAATAGAAAAGTAAAGCCACTTCGACATAAATGAGAGTGGGCCTTGGTACAACAATAAGATTATTCCTTTACGATTTGAGAGACCAGGGTTTGAGTCACGGAAACCGTCTCTTTAAAATATTTAAGGTAAGACTACGTATATTGACCCTCTCCAAACCTACATTGGTGGGAGCCTGATGCACTGGGTACATCATTTTCTTAAAACTGTAGTTGGAAAAGGTAAATGCAGAGGTTCAAGCAGTTCTCGGAAAAATTTAAATAACAGCCATTAAACACCTGAAACATATATAATATCATAGTATAACAGTTATGGGTCACTGTGTTCCTTAATCATCAATCTATACAGCAACCACTCTCCAACCATCAATCATCCCTGCTCAATATATTACTCATATTATGATGATAAGAACTATTATTTAGTATATTATTGCTAAACTGATTAAACATTTGAATCAATATTTTCCAACTCCAAAATAATTCGATGTGCTATTGATTCTGTGAAATCTACATCATGCAGACATGCATCTTCTAGTCACCTTTTGCATCCAAAAAATAGCCCTTATCCACTGTATACTGAACAAAGTCTTTCATTCATACTAGGAGAGATGGAGTCTGAGCACATACCAAAGCAAGACCCTGAAAGCACCAGTTGTTATGAATGCCACTCAATCTGCATCATGCTTATGTTCCAAGACCTCCAGAAGTAAAGATTCCGTCAAGTCACTGAAACAAACCATGGAGGCCAATGAGGCCCATACTTCAGCTTCAGGGATCTCGCCATGGCTGATCATTTCCTCTAACCACAATGTGGCTTCATATCTCCTGACAATTGAACAGAGCCCCTGAATTACACTGCTAAAAACTGCTCTGTTAGGCCGATACCTCCTCCTAAGCATCCTCTCCAAAACCTGGGCTGCCTCAAGATGCCGGCATTCTGCGTGCAAGCCATCGACCAAGATTTCAAATGTCTCTTTCTGGGCTACACAACCCACCTGTTTATCCATCTTGTCCAAATACTCCACTGCCCTCATCGACTTCCCCTCCTTACACAGTCCTTCCATCACTAGATTATAAGTTCTAACAGTAGGAACACAATCCTTGCCTGGCATCTCCTTTTCTAGCACCCTCACACTGTCATCCGCCCTCCCTTCCTGGCACAAGGCACTGATCTTGTTTTCAAAGATGGACACCGGTGGTCGAAACCCACTCTCAATCATTTCATCGAACATCTGCTGTGCATCGTCGAAATTCCCTTCCGCGTACAAATCCTTCAGCATTGCTCGGTAGCTCGCCAGGCTCTTCACTCCTCTTACCACCAGTGCCTCGTCAATGACCTTCTTGGCCTCCTCCACGGTCAAACCTTGGAGCACCGGGCCGCAGAATGTCCGCCGGCGTTTCGAGGACCTGAGCCCCTTCTTAAGCACCCTGGCGAGAATCTCCTCGGCCTCCGCAGTACGTCCGTTCTGGCACAGCGCCTCGAGAAGCGTCCTATAAACGACGACGTCGGCGTCGCAGCCCTTCTGTGAAATCCGCCATAGCATGGACCGGAGCAGGTGGATGGCGTCATCGAGGCGACCGGCGTCGCAGAGGCCGCGCATAAGGTTGCGATAGGTGTCGCGGTCGGGGTAGCAGCAGAGGTCGCTGAAGGCAGCGAAGGCCTGGACGGCGGCGTCGGGGCGACCGTCGCGGCAGAGGGCATCGACAAGGAGGTTAAGAGCGGGGGGCCCGAGGCGCACCTCACGGCGCCCGGCGCAGCTGGAGAAGAGGCGGAGGGCGAGGGAGAGGTGGCCGCGGGCAAGGAGGAGCCGGAGGAGGGCGTGGAAGGAGAGGGACCACGAGGGAGAGTTGGAGCGGGGGAGGAGGCGAAGGAAGAGGAGAGGGCCGCGGGGGGGTCGCCGGAAAGGGCGCGTATGGCGCGGGCGAAGAGGAGGTCGGGGGCGGGGCAGGAGTCGCGGAGCGCGAGGCGGGAGAGGAGGTCGGCGAGGGCGGGGACGGGGAGAGGGTCGACGGAGAGGAGGGAGTCGAGGGCGGCGGAGTAGACGAGGGAGTTGTGGCGGTAGGAAGGGTAACGGAGAGGGGCCTCATCGAAGAGGCGGAGCGCGGCAGCGGGGTCCTTCTGCCGCCGCATGAGCTGCGCCAGGTAGCTCGGCGTGAGCACTCGCGGCCACCGAACCGCCATCGCCATGGACGACGGAGTCCGAGTTGGTTCCCTCCGTGTTTGGCCTATAGAATAGAATTATAGGCTCGATGTTTTCTTATTGCACCAAAGTGGGCCTTACAGAATTGGGCCATTTAAGCCCACATTGCAATATGTCCAAATAAATCAAACTCAGCATTCTCAAAATAGGAATCAGAGAAATAAAATAAGATTTTATAGCATTCCATACCATAGCAGTCTATCACCCACCCAAATAGAAGCCATAATGAGATGAATGCCAACAATGCTGTGCATGAATGCAGCTCAACAGGGGGGAGGGTATTATAAGCTATCAACCTTTGGATAACAGTCTACGGGAGATCGAAGAATCCTCTCGGCCGATCAAGTATAAAAATTGACCCCCCGCACCGATCCAAGTATCGGATCATTTCCCAAAAACATCTCAAACACATATGGCCTTCAGACTAAGTGCAAAATTTCACATCAATCATATATGTTTCTTCATCACAGTAATAGTTAAAGGCCAACTGATACCAATGTCACCATTTTCTCTGTAACATCCAATTGCACTACAAACTCTTATTTCTCATACAATTACATAAACATAGAGCATCAGAGGACTTTCTCCAGAGTTCAAAGGCAGGAAATATAGTGTTAGGCAATGGAATGGCCTGCTACGTTGATCAATTAATTGCTTTGACAAACTTTACGTCGGTATCTCTTCATCTAATATGAGGGGTCTTCTGTCCAGTAATTCTCGGCGTCTAAGTTTCGAGCAACATAATACTTCCGGAGGGGTTCCCCAGAGAAAGACTTGGGACACATTTATTGGAAGAGATTCTTCTCCTACACATGTAGGTTGCGACCGCTATAGCATTCAACATTTGCCTGCAGTGACAAAAACCCGCCTTGTCATCGATCGATGCAAGCATGCTTACTCCCGACACGAACATGGAAATGTTTTTCGGCAAATAAAACAAAGAACAACCTGTATTACCCATAGAAAGAAAAGAGAGAAGACCTTATCTGCCACTTAATATTGCTCATGATTCACTGTGTCCTGCAATAAGAAATGATAAATTCCCCAAGTATGTCAAAAGACCGTCAAATTTCCATGGGGCTAAAATTAAGATAAAAGTGAATCGACCATAGAGTTTAAGATATTTGAGAGGATTAGCTGTTTAGAAACCTGCAATAATTGCTGAAAGAACAAAATGAAGTTGTGTGGCTAATGGATTTAAATTGTCATGTCAAAACTACTCTTTCATTGCAACAGATTCATTTGAGGACAAGGCATATAATGAGAAAATATAATTTAATCTGCTTATTTCTGTATCGGAAAGGCATTCAAATTGCATGATATGGAGTTTTAACTTTTAAGAACTATATTAGAAGTCTAAAAATTATTTTTAAAAAATAATGCATCTGTTTCTTAGCTAAGAAATAGTTACCACAAAGTGTTTTACTGCATTGTATTAAATATAATTGTCCAACGGAAAATAAATTAATAAGCAACAAAAGAGTAGTTTCTCTAACCTTTCAAAGATTCATTTTCATCCAAAGGAGTTTCTGATGATGGAAACGAGGGAGAAATGCTTATCGATCCCCTTACATCGATTAACATAGATATGACTTCTCTCATAGTTGGCCTGTCAATTGGCAAGTTGTTGGTGCAGAACAGTGCAATTTTTAGTACCAAACACATCTCTTCGATTGTGCCCTTTGAGCTAAGATCCAATCGGGAATCAAACACATTAGATGCTGGCATGCTATTTTGGATGGATCTCCTCACCCAATTGACCAGATCCCCTCCTTGGTCTAGCGGCTGAATGGGAGATTGCCCAGTGATCAATTCCAAAAGAACAACTCCAAAACTATAGATGTCGCACTTTTCTGTAACTTTCATTGTGAAAGCATACTCTGGATCAAGCATAAGACGGTAACAATCTTAGAATAATACAGGTAGTCTATTGAGCAAAACTAAATTAAGATTTTAAAGGATTGAGTTAAATTGAAGTATTTAGCACATTATCTCCTTATTTCATCTGAATAAAGTATAACTACATGAATCAACTATTTATAGCATAGAAAGACACACAAATCAGTCTATGCATGAAGGATGTTGATTTCATACATAGCAAGCTAACCTGGACTCACACAAGCAATGCTCATAAAAGTTAATTTCGAAGACCTCACCTAAAAGATAATTTAGATCATGGAGTATCTAAAAGAATTAACATGGCAATGCGCATCTCGTTCATCTAACCCAGATGGCTATTTCATGAGGTTCTCCACCAAGCTTTGCTTGGCATTTGAACTCTTACACTTGGTACTTCAATGCCACATATGATCAACTTCCACTAATAACCCAGTAAAGTTTTCAGTATGAGAAAAAGCAACAACATGACTTAAGAGAAATATTGTTATTCAGCTCTCTTTACTGTGAGGATGCCCCTTAACTTTTAGGTATGTATGAAATTACAAAAAACAAAAACAATAAATTATTTGAATGTCCAAGATACACGTTCCTTTGGAGTTAAAAATGAAAATCTAGAACAGACAAAGGAAAGAGAAATAACAATCTTTACAACAATTATTCTCTTGATGACAAGAAATGAAATTTACGCCTGAAAGTAAAAGTAAACAAATAAAAATGAGAAAGGTGAATTATGAAACAATATCATTCATCATATAAATCAGGCTGTTTGAAGGGTTTACTTTATGCTCATGGGAGGTACTCATCCAAAAATACTTGCATTAAGGAAAAGAAATACAAAAGAGCTAAAATTCACATGATGATCCTTTAATCTCACCTGGAGCAATGTACCCATAAGAACCAGCAACTGCAGACATGGTTTTGGAGTGTGAAATGTCTATTAACTTTGCCAAGCCAAAATCTCCTACATGAGCATCCATCGCCTCATCCAAAAGGATATTATTTGATTTTATATCTCGGTGGATAATTTGAGGTTTGCAGTCGCAGTGGAGATAACGCAAGCCTTCAGCTGCTCCAAGAGCAATCCTGTAGCGAGTATTCCAATCAAGTAAACATGTTTCGTTGTTACCATGAAGCCGTTCACCAAGACTGCCGTTTGCCATATATTCATAGAGGATAAGATTTGAGTCTTGATGATAGCAGAAACCATAGAGCTTGACAATGTTACGGTGCCTAATATTTCCAAGGGTAGATATCTCAGCTCGAAAGCTACTGTCAATGCTAGAACACTCTGCATGAGATTTCAGCTTCTTAACTGCAATTATCCCCCCATCGGACATTATGGCCTTGTAAACTGTGCCACAAGCACCTCTTCCAATTACAGCACTGTCTGAGAAATTGTCAGTAGCTGTGAGAAGTTCTTGATATGTTATACTTTCCTTTGGGAGGTAATAGAGATCAGAAACACCCTGCTTATGATCTTCGCTTTTCACGAGAACAGGCATGCGGTACTTCAGAGACCAACACAACCCTATAGTGAGAGCCAGAGAAACCAACCCCACAACCACGGCAGTGATGCTAACTATTTTCTCCTTGGACGTTCTCTTTGCCCAACCTGATTCTGCAATGTTCAATGGCACAGGCGTATGCTGGCATGCCTTTGTATCAGTACCACACAGATCATAATTTCCGAAGAAGTTACTATCATCCATCCTTCTAAATATTGGAGTACCAGGCAAGGAACCAAAGAGGTAATTGTAAGAAAGATTGCAGACTAGAAGGCTGGAAAGCTTACTAAATGAAGGAGGTACTTCACCATCGAGCTGGTTGTTGTTCAAGTACAATGTCTCCAACATTTGCAAGTTCCCAAGATCGGCTGGTATCTCTCCTGAGAGGGCATTGTAACTGAGATTGAGAGCAATTTGCAGTGCAGTAAGATGCCCCAGCTCACCAGGTATGCAACCAGACAAATTGTTCCCACCCATTTGCAGCTCAGTGAGGCGATAAAGGCCCCCAAGACCATCTGGGATTGTTCCATTAAGATGGTTATCAGAGAGCAAAAGTAGCTCCAAATTGACTAGATTACCAATCTCTTCTGGGATAGTTCCACTGAAATGATTTCTGCTAAGATCAAGCCTTTGGAGCTTCTTACAATTCGCCAGCTCATGAGGTATACCACCTGAAAGCTGATTTGAGGAAATATTGAAGCTAACAAGAGATGTTAGCTGTCCAATTTCAGGAGTAATCTGACCCATGAAATAATTATCAGACAGGAGGAGTCTTTCGAGGCTCTTCAGCTTGCCGATTTCTGGAGTGATGGGTCCAGAAAACCGGTTTTGATTCATCTCTAAAGAAGTTAGATTCAGGAGCCCAGATAATTCCACCGGAAGGCTTCCAGTGAGCAGATTCCCTCCCAATCTTAGCTGTATGAGCGACATGCATGTTTTGACCCCATGAGGAATGTTTCCAAACAACCTATTTGCCCCAAGGCTCAAAATGATCAACTTCTGGTATTTACAGAGTTGGCATGGTATGCTGCCAGTGAGTTTGTTGTCTGATAAATCAAGAACGGAGAGATTACTATTGGTCCCTAACAGCGGAGGAATAAATCCTTCAAGGTTGTTATCAAAGAGCAGAAAGTTCTCCAACGAAGTGAGGTTCTGAAATTCTAGAGGAATAGTTCCTGTCAAATTATTGATTGACAAATCTATCTTCCTTAGAAGACTCAACTGGCCAAGCTCCCTAGGAATGCTGCCCTGCAGGAGGTTCTCAAACAGGTAGAGCAAGCGAAGAGTCTGTATCCGACCAAGCTCTTTAGGAATAACTCCAGTCAATCGGTTCTCAGAAAGATCAATCTCGATTGCACTCTGGCAATTTCCTAGATCCTTAGGGATTGTTCCATCCAGCCTATTTGTATAAATATACAGCTTTTTCAGCAAAGACAGTTTGCCAAGTTCCTTTGGAACATCTCCGGTGAAACCATTGTTGTTTAGAGCAATCATTTCTAGATTACTGCAGTTGCCTAGCTCAGGGGGGATTTCACCAGACAGCTGGTTTTGCCAAAGAACCAGAGTCGTAAGATTCTTCAACCTTTCAAGCTCCTTAGGAAGAATCCCTTCCAACTTATTTTGGGCAAAAGCTAAGACCTCTAAGCTACTGCATTCACAAATATCCACTGGCACTGGACCAGTCAAGTCATTCCGACCAGCTCGAATGATCCGAAGACTCTTCAGCATTTTAATCGATGGAGGAATCATGCCGGTGAGGTTGTTACTATAAATAACAAGCTCCTCAAGCATCGTCAAGTTACCAATGCTTGACGAGATCTCACCGTACAGGCAGTTCTCACTCAAGAAAAGTTGTCTAAGGGAAGACAATGCACAAAGCTCCTGGGGGATCTCTCCATGTAAGGTATTAGTACTGAGATCAAGAACCTCTAAGCTTCTACATTGGGCAAATTCTTTAGGTATGGGCCCAGATATCATGTTTGACGACACATTAAAGCTGGTTAGGTAATGGAGTTGGCAAATGCTGGCAGACAAGGAACCTTGGAGCCCCAATTTGTAAAGATTAATGGATGTTACCTCAGAATCGCGACAAATGATTCCATTCCAGTCGCAAGGAGTCGGATCAGATGAGTTCCAATCTGAAAGGCGGTTATCTACATCGATGAGATTGTTCTTGAACTCGAGGAGCAGATCAACATCGTGGTCGCTCAGCGCCATGCCAAGAACAAAAATGCAAGAAATGACAGCGAACAACTGCCATATGGACGCCATTCTTGTGCAATCTACAACCCTTGCAACCCCTATTTGATCTCAATAACTATGTCAGTGAATCAATCTTTGTGGAAAGTGCGGGCATCAGAGGCAACCATTTTAAGGCTAGGCTTTGCTCATGCATTAACTAGTGGGAAAAATAGAAGACAGTAGCGCAAGCTCAGCTAATCCAAACATGAAAGCTGTGAGAAAGGAATTAAATAGGCACAAGCAATCAACATCTGGAAAAAGCAAATCATATTGACTTGAAAAGGAACAGAATCTTAACAAAACTACCAAAGCAGCGCAATCCAAGAAAACTTAACGGGAGTTTCGGGGATTAGTAGCTACTTCTAGAGGTAATGAACTCCAAGAAGGCAAACAAGAGAGTGGAAGAAGGAAGAGGAGGCCATGGAACAGTAATTGGTGGCAAGGAAAGGAGTGCTGCACCTCAGGGGTAGCAAGGGTTTCTGGAGAGCGAGAAGGAGGAGGTGGTGATGTTATAGTGGGATGGCAGAGAGGCAACCACCAATGCACCAAAGAGGTGATCCAGAGTCAACGAGCATGGTTGGAGTCCGGAACAAAGGCACCACCACCCTGAGCTCACCTCCACACATCACCAGGCCCCTGCAAGTGTATGCAGTCTTCCGCTGTGGAGAGTGACAGTGAGGCCCAAGTGGGAGGGCTCCTGTTGCTGTCCTTCCGGGAATCTCATGATAGTAAATGAGACAGATCGTCTCTACCCATTTCGATCCACCTTTCTTCCTCTCCGGACCTCACCTTCGCCAATTCCATTGTTAGTGTTGATTACTGTTTGGTTTTCCTGCCTTTTTCCTGCTACTGTCACTTCAACATCACAGCACATGACCGTGGATGGTGGAGTCTGTCAGCATGTAGACGACAAATATGGAAGAAGATCTTGCTACAACATTGAGTTAGCTGCTATAAATCATCTTAAGGAGGATCCAGTATCGACCGAGAGGGATGTAGAAGACGAGAATTACAAGCATTATATTGTAAACAAAGATGGAGAAACTGACCTTCTCTTCCTTCTATCTCTTCTCTTTGATCATTTCCTCCTGCCGTAAGCACCGGAAAACCTGCTTCTTCCTCGAGAACTTTCCCAAGTATCATCACCGAACTTGACATGAGACTGTGACCTGAGACGTAACACCTCACGTCCTAGAACTTGCCTAATTTTGTCCTCAGTCCAAGATGCTGAGACACCTTTCTTGGCTGCGATTGTTGACTCGGTTGCTTACAAAATTGTGTTCTCTAATATTTTATCAGTTCAAACAGTGGAGACGACACCAAATTTGCCATCTCAAGTCTCACACAAACTCGAGTCCACTTAGCGTAAGTCTTGAGGGAAGTATGTCTTGGGTGGATTCGACAGCTCTTCATCTTAATCTTGCAACCTCTTGTTGTCATGTTAACCCAGTTCAAGAGGACTAACAGGACAACAGAGAGAGAAAGAGAGAGAGAGAGAGAGCACTTAAAGCAGAGTAGGATGTAGGAATCCGTGAGTGCCTCCACTCTGGATAGGTCAACTGGAGCACTATTACAATGTCAAATCCTTTGGCCTCTGTTCTAATACACAGGAGAGAAATGGCTGGAATGATACATCCCTGTCTGAGATCAAATGCAATCTACAAGGTTGGTGTTTGCCAACTTCCATGAAACCTAGCGGCACTCTGCATCTGTAACTCATCTTGCTCATGTCACATCCCTGCATTCCGACTTTCGGATAGTCAAAACACATCGCCCAAACCTCCCTTTAATATCAACAGTTTGTGATGGTGAGTCCTGCAAGATGATGAGTCCACTTCATTGAGACTGGTGAAGCCGGCATTGATTACTTGGCATCCTGCACCGGTTCACAGTCCCTGGAAATAGAAGAGTGGGGCTCTAGCTCTTCGAGAGGAGGGGGAGGAGGAGGAGGAGGCGTTGCACCACTTGCTGCATGCGTTGTCGGAGGTGGATTGGAGGTGGTGGGCCTTCGAAGAGAGAAGATTGAGGCATGTTCAACCCTTCGTCGTCTTCGTGTTCATGATGGCGAGGAGAAGCCATTCAACTTTGCGCTCTATCATGTTGCCTTGATATGGAGCCACTCTGCTCGCTTTCCATGAACCAAACTACAACAAATGAATGCATGAGGAATACAATGACAATATCCCTTGTCCTAATGCATGAGGAATACAATGATAACATCCCTTGTCCTTATATATATATATATATGGGCCTTACAAGAGCAAGGCCCAATTTTAGTATTGAAACCATTTTTGAATAGAGCTTCTTGGGCCATGTGGACTATATATATATATATATATATATATGTGGCTTAAAACTTTATTAATTTCTCATATAGTACTCCAAATTTAAAATAATCTCACAGATCGCTTTGGTTGTGTGAAAAGATCAGTTTACTTTTGTCTTCCCCAAAGTTATTGTTGCCTCTCATATAACCTTCGTCATAATTTCTATGTTGTCATCAAAACCAAAGGCTATTATGAGCGCTCATGCTAACCTTAGCCACATCCATCGCTTGCCACAAGTTTGGATGGGCCTGCGAGAGAAGGTGGTTCAGGACATTGTGTGCGACAGAGTGCTTGTTCAAGATGAAATGGGAGTGATCGATGTTACTAACTCGTGCAAGGGCATAGTTATGATGCATGTTCGAGGTGGAGGATGCAATCGATAAGGTATAGGGTGATGGCGAACGGAATACAATGATCATTTTGAAAAAAAAATAAATTGTAAGAAAATTTTAACGTTGAGGTGTTACATGAGAAAATATCAAATCATGATTTTTTTTTTACAAATTTATCATATACTTATCCCTCATTTTAAGTTTTTTTAATAATATCCTTAATTCAAAAATACTCAAACTGCTCCTAAAAAAGTTGAGGATATTTTTTTAGTCTGTTATAGTGTTTTTGGTTACTATAACAAAAATACTATAAAACCTATTTAAATAAATGAACCAAATATAATCAAAACACATTAAATATTATTTGATACATCATATTAGAATTTAAATAGATTTTTATAATAGTTTAGAAATAATATCAACTAAATAAAAAATAAAAATTACTTTATCATAATGTTTTAGCAATCACAATAAAAATAAAAATATTATGAAATGAATGGATTCCTAACCTCAACTAAACCAATTATAAACCTAAAAATATGATAGCATAATGGTTTATGAATAATGACAACTAAAGAGACCAAATGATATCACTTATAGTGTTTTTCAACAGTTTTATAGTATTTTCAATACCTCAATTAAAATACTATAAATAAAATTGTAACAGTTCAAAATAGGTGAAAAAACTAACAGAAAATTTTGACATGAAAGGTATTTTGAGTATGTTTCAAATTAAAGATATTATTTGGAAAAGAATATATTTTCTAAGAAAATTACTATATATATAATTAATGACATTTATATTGAAATTTTAGTTATTATTATTGTTGTTATTGTATTATTATTATTATTATTATTATTATTATTATTATTATTATTGTTATTGTTATTGTTATTCCCATGATGGAGGAAATGGCGGGCGGAACGACGGTTGGATGGTGAAACGAGCGGGACGTGCAGAGGCTCGCTTTCTCGCCTTATTTTTCCTCCATACGAATCCGAAATCAACACCGCAAGGAGGAGGAACAAAGCAGAGACAAATCCGCTTCCTGCAGAATCGAGGGAAAGGGTAACTCCCACGCTACATTCCCCCTTCACTTTCATCCCCTTGTTCTATGGTTGATCCAAGATCGATGGCCCGGGCGCGAAAACAGGAGAATGGGAACCTCAAGTGCTTGTGTGTTTCTTTGTTCTCATCCAATTTGGCTTGTTCGTAGGCAAGAATTGGGGGCAAAACGAAAAGAACTGCGATTGTCTTCCTTTGTTCTCGTAGAATTTGGGGGTGGGGGTGGGGGGAGGAAAGAAAGATGTGATTTTGATGCTTTGTTCACATTTTTCAGGTGATTTATCAGCGCAAGATGTTCGATTGCAGTTACAAAGCACAGTACATGGAGGGCCAGAAGGAGAAATTTGTAAGGTTTAAGTACTTCACTTCCCCTTGTCGATCGAATCCCCCAAAAAATGAGATGAGTTCTTGAGCACGCATGCAATCTCTGGTGTAGGCTGGAGGAGTCAAGTCCGAGATTATCCTTTGCTTCTGATGCAGGAAGAATGAACAAATGTGGGTTTCACGTCCAGGGGGCCGCCCGGAAATCCAATAACCCCTCGAAATCTTTCAGGAAAGGGATGAAGAAGGGGTCGGAAGGGCTTATTTCGCTCGGCCGATCCCTTCGGTCTGGCGTTTCTAGGGCAGTTTTCTCCGAAGAACTCAAGGCGACCGAGAAGAAGATCTTTGATCCTCAGGATGTGCTCCTTCTTCGAATGAACAGGCTGTTCGTAGCATCATGCATTCTTTCCATAGCTGTGGATCCCTTGTTCTTCTATCTCCCTGTCATCGACCAAGATTCCAATTGCGTTGGCATCGACCGCAAGTTAGCGGCCACGTCGACCACATTGCGGACGCTGATCGACGCCTTCTACCTCATTCGAATGGCTCTTCAGTTCCGCACTGCGTACATCGCTCCGTCGTCCCGGGTTTTTGGTAGAGGCGAGCTTGTGATTGACCCTACGCAGATAGCAATTCGGTATCTGAGACGATACTTCATCATCGATTTCCTTGCGGTGTTACCTCTCCCTCAGGTCAGCTTCTCTTCGATTTCTGAGAGCATACGCCACTCTGTATTTGAACCTTCAATTTACAGAAGCAGAACATAAACATAATCTGATAGAAAGAGCTTAATATTGATTTAGAATTCACACCACTGATCTATCGACATTTTCTTCAGTTTGTAGTTTGGAGTTTCCTTCACAGATCAACAGATTCTGATGTGCTGGATACCAAGAATTCATTGCTTTTCATTGTCATGCTTCAGTATATACCAAGATTGGTTAGAACTTTTCCTTTGACAGCAGAGTTGAGAAGGACTGCTGGCATCTTTGCCGAAACTGCTTGGGCTGGTGCAGCCTATTATTTGCTATGGTATATGCTTGCTAGTCATGTAAGTACCACTTCATCTCTGCTGAACTTTTAATTACTCCTTTTTTATTTTTGCTGCTTTTTGGAACTAAAGACAATATTTTCTGCCATAAATTTCTCTACCATCTTTGCAGATGGAATTTCTTTAGGATGACATCTGAATTTGGTTATCTAGATTAGGGTTAATGTTCTACAGATGGGTGTAGTTTCTCAATTCCTACCTAGACCTCCATCTCTCTTCATGGATAACGAAGCATAAAGTGAAGAAAATTTATGTGCACATTGAAGTATCAGTGTTTTCAATCTAGAAACTATATATAAAGATGCAAATGCTTTTGGCTAAACTAAGGATATTTCTAGCTCAATGACCTCAAATAGTCGGGATATTCTGTTATTGTTGTTGTTGTATTGAAGTATCGAAATATCGATGTTGCTTGTTTTGCAGATAGTAGGTGCTTTCTGGTACTTATTATCAGTCGATCGCGATGATGATTGCTGGCAATTAGCTTGCAAGAATTTTGACGGATGCAATGTGAAGTATTTATATTGTGGTAATGCACATCTAGATGGCTATGATATCTGGCAAAATGTCAGTGCAGGAGTTCTTGAGCAGTACTGTTCAGTAGCTGATGACAATACAGAATTCAACTTTGGAATTTATACACAGGCCTTGACTTCTGGAATCATTGCATCAAACAAGTTCTTCTCCAAACTTTGCTATTGTTTGTGGTGGGGTCTGCAGAACCTCAGGTAATGCTTCTTTTCTCTTCAGCTAATTGATGAACTGAGAATGTTATCTATAACTGTTAATCTCGCTCGTTCCTCAAATTGCTTGAGAGATTGCTCTTTCATATTCCATACTGTTTATTTGAGATATTGTGTTTATTTGTTTCGTGTTAGATGAATCGTCAAGCGATGAACTACTATTTTAATGAGTACTGCAAAAATCTTATCTCTAACTTAGTGTATTGACAATACATAACTCAGATCTTATTGACATTCCTGACTTTGGAGAACTCAATTACCTTTTGGCTCTTTGTTTTCCAACTGACATTGTCATAGCAACAATTGCTTGATCCGTCATCCTCTCATACTTATAGGTTGATATCCTCTATTTTGCTTCTGATTCTTTTATCGCTGTCATGTAAATTTTTCTTCCTAAATTGATCATCCATTATAAATTAAATATTTATAATAAACATCTTGAAAAAAAAATTAATTTAACATTCTCTTGTATTAGAAAGATACTCTTTAAAAAATTGCATGAGAAATGGAGAGTCAGTTGATTAGGATCACTCTGCATGAATCTTCTTAGATTAGGTGCATAACAATCCATGGAACTTTTCGATATATGATAGATTCATAATCCCCTATAAATTGATGCTGTGATATGTGTGGATACAAAATTACAATTATGACTTCTTGGCTATGGAATTTATCACCTAAATCCTGTGATATTCCACCTTAATCGATCATTTGCTGTTGTTCTGGATGCAACAGTACCCTTGGCCAAGGTCTGGTGACAAGTACTTACCCCGGAGAAGTCATCTTCTCCATAGCCCTCGCTATATTTGGACTCATTCTCATGGCCCTCCTCATCGGCAACATGCAGGTAACCTAAATACCATTTCTTAATCTGTATGCTGCATTATATGAACATGAGCTCGAGTCTTTCCACGTCGTTGCTTCAGACTTATCTTCAGTCTCTGACGATACGGCTGGAGGAGATGAGAGTGAAGAGGCGGGACTCCGAGCAGTGGATGCACCACCGCCTGCTGCCGCAAGATCTCCGGGAGCGCGTCCGCCGGTACGACCAGTACAAGTGGCTGGAGACGCGGGGGGTGGACGAGGAAAGCTTGGTGCAGACCCTCCCCAAGGACCTCAGGCGAGACATCAAGCGCCACCTTTGTCTCGGCTTGGTCAGAAGGGTACGTTCGTCTCATTCCGCATTAGTCTTGCGGGTGAAGTCGTGCTTATCGTTCTTCGGCGACAGGTGCCTCTGTTCGCGAACATGGACGAGCGATTGCTCGACGCCATATGCGAAAGACTCAAGCCCAGTCTGTACACCGAGAACACCTACATCGTAAGAGAAGGAGATCCTGTCGACGAGATGCTCTTCATCATACGAGGCCGCCTGGAGAGCATCACCACCGATGGCGGGAGAAGTGGCTTCTTCAACAGGAGCATACTCAAGGAGGGAGACTTCTGCGGCGAGGAACTGCTGACTTGGGCCCTGGATCCCAAGTCCGGCGCCAATCTTCCCTCTTCCACTCGGACCGTGAAGGCTCTGACGGAGGTGGAAGCCTTCGCGCTGTTCGCCGACGAGCTAAAGTTCGTGGCCAGCCAGTTCCGGCGGCTCCACAGCCGGCAGGTCCAGCACACGTTTCGGTTCTACTCGCAGCAGTGGCGTACGTGGGCGGCCTGCTTCATCCAGGCCGCGTGGCGGCGCTACTCCAAGCGTAAGGCGGCGGAGCTGAGGCGCAGGGAGGAGATGGCGGACCTGGACGACAACGGCGGCTGGTCCTCCAGTCTCGGGGCGACCATATACGCCTCGCGCTTCGCGGCCAACGCGCTTCGCGGGCTTCACCGGCAGCGAAGCAAGAGCGTGAGAGAGCTGGTGGCGCTGCAGAAGCCTCCTGAGCCTGACTTCGCCGTGGACGATGGGTGAGCGACGGTGCAACGTGCGACAGGAACCAACGTACAAAGAGACTGCATTCATGATCTCAATCACGAAGCGATGGATTCAGTAGTCTTATGTGGGAGATCACAAAAGTCCAGTATAAGAAATCATTCACATATAGAACAGTACCTTACAATGTCACAGCCACTACACATAATTATTTGATCGACACACAGTTCTGATTCTTTATATTGCGCAAAGACGCACAAACCCTGTCCTATTTTTACAGTGCATTAGAGGACTTCCATCATCAGTACCGCTATCTAAGACGGCTCGACTTATATAGCTATCAGCTGATTCGGAAGTCACAAATGCAGATAAGCCAAGAATGATTTGCCTTCGGAGAACAACCAAATGATGGTAAGATCAAACCCTGTGCCATATCTGACAGGCGGCCAGCTCTTCCATCTGGTTGTATGAAGTTTCGGAGGGGGAATCGAAAGGTTGCGCCGCCACCGCTCTCAACGTTCGACCACCCTCCCAGTATCCATCTCATCAGACCTTGAGGAGATCACAGCAGCCATCAGCTGCTGCACCCCAGTTGTTATGGATGACGCCACTTCCTTGTCCTCCTCCATTCACCATATTTGACAGAGGATGAAGAACAGATGCATGCAGGCGCTCAATGATGCTGAAGTGATCAATGTTTTCCTGTTCATACAAGCTCGTCACCTCTGATCCGCCACTGGCTGATTTCAGGTTTACGTTGTCATGCTGCAGGATTTCAGAACTCGGAGACATGGCAGGAGGAGGCATTGCGTCTTTCACCTTCTCTGTGTTCAAGAATCGACCACCACGGCCCCTTACTCGGCGCATCGCATGAAGGTGGCGTGATTCATGCAAATATGGCTGCAGAAAAGCAAACCGAATAAGCACACTCAAATCTTATAACAGTAAGGAAAATGCCTCCTATGTGATGAGCTTATTAGCTGTTACAAAGGTGAAAACAGTAGCAGAGCACTTAAAAGACTGGTGTCTGCTAAAATAGATAGCTTAAAGAGTATATTAGTTACTGCTCTTATAGAACACAGAGGAAAGTATCAGCAATTAGCTGTTGCATGGTAAATGCATACCTTCCTAACTCTGATCAATTTGTTCTGTTTCTCAGCCTTGGCACGAGCTTTGCGGCGACGAAGAATTGCGTAGAACTGTTTTGCATTCACATAGATTGGTCCATCAGTTGTCGCATCCATTGGTAAAAGCACACGCCCATGCTGGAAAAAGGAAACCAGGAACAATTCACAAACAAATTGATGTGCAGGGGGGAAAACATGAAATTATGAATTCGGTATATTCACCAGGTAACAAGTTTCTGTTCCTTGAACTTTCCATTTTTTGAACTGTGTACAGATAAAAATTTACTGCAAAGTGGTTGGTGATAAGCCTTCTGGAAAAGAACAGATGGAGTCCAAGTCCTTTTTTTTTGTCTAATTTAATGTTTTGCTTCTAGTTTCACAAAGGTAAACATGGTTTTTTTTTTTTTTTACATTCTAATAAAACATTTTAAACATATGAAAATGTAAAGCTTTAAACTGTAAATCATAAATGCCCCCAAGTCAGTGGCTTGAGTAATATATCTTACCAAATTCTAAATAAGGTAACATATTTTCCTTATTTTCTTGGAAAATAAGTTGATTCCAAGAAACATAGACCTCTATTACATTTCTACATCAGCCACCATGTCTTAGAATTTCCAATGTCAGTTTTTAAGGTGCTGACTAGCTTGGTTGGTAAGGATGACTTTGACAGAATATTGCAGGGTCACAGGCTCGAATCTTGTTTCCGCTGATAGTTGACTAGGCAAGACCACAACAAGGCTCATCATTGTAACAGGTTCTCGAGTCATCCATGTAAAAAGATTAAACCACGATCCCATCTCAATAAGAATTTTAGGTTCTTGGGCTCAAATATTTTGCTGTAGCTCATCAATGGCATAACCCAGGAATGTGTGATCCTGTGGCTCCCTTCAACAGCAACTAAACACATAGGCAAAGTGTTTGAGCTCAATGTATGCAAAAGAGGAACTTATTTTCTATGAGCAATTGAAGAAGAATTAAATATTATCTTCCGGAATTATTATTTAATTTTAGGAGTTCCATACCAGATCTACTAGATCAAAAAGTGTTATTAATGATGTTGATTCAGCTTGTGAAATGCTTCAGTAGAACCACTGCGATTGATTGACATATGTCATACAGTTAAAATTGTTGCTCTGACTCAAAGAAAAGAAAATAGGAAGGACCACAATCAAAATCATTACTGTCATTCAGAACATAAAAGAAAAAGAGAAACCAACCATTGCTTGAGCTGCTCCATATGTTGCATACAAGCCGTAGAACTGGTCAACATAAGAATGACTTGGACAGACCTACTCCAATATTAAAAAAAAAAATACAACGAAAAAAAAAAAGCTGTGTGTCACTGTAAAGTTAATAAGTCAAACTCAAAGCAACTATTTTTTTTTCCATAAAACTACAGCATAAAATGAAAAACCTACGACAGAATGGCCAAGTCCCTGTTTGAAATGCCCTGGATTCTCAGGTAATGATGACTGTAGAGAGAAGGGAGCAAAATATTGCTGAGTCTTCTGCTCTTTTCCCAAGTCCTTGTGGTCTATAATGCAAAAACATGTGGTCAAATTCATGTTACACAACCATCAATAGAGAGAAATATCATACACTATGAAGCTCAAAAGAAACTTCTAAATAGTACGAAGGCTACACCAAAAGTTCCTTCACAGCTCTAGCAATTAGAGTTGAACATAACGAGATTGGTATATGGTACTTTAAGCTTCTATAAGGGGGCAATAACTATCCAAAGTTATGCTGCTTCACATTTGTAATTTACATTTTCTAATGACAACTTATATGGATGCCTATTTTTTGGTTTAAAAATTGACTGTTAAAATTGAGTTCATTCTTTATTCTTCATTGATTAATTTTCTATTATTGTTTTGTCACTTGTGCTCTGGGATTATCTACAATAGCACTCCCCAAAGTAATTTTGTTCAGACATCATACCGGTGCATCATATGTATAGCACTATAGTAGCATCCATTAGTTACTACTTAAGCAACACCACATATACTATAGCTAAACATTAATTCCCTAATCATGAAGTACTCCAAATTATCAGTAATAAATATTAATAAAAATTAAATTTATTTTCTCTTAGTAGCACCAACGAGATTTTGAAATGAATGCACTATCAAGGAAAACAAGCTATTAAGAACTTTCACTAAGGGCAATGATCACAGCAGGAAGACTAACAATAATGAATTTTCCCTGTAAACTTGTTTCTTTTAACCAGAGAAGCAATTAATTCCTGATAGCCGAGTATCAAACTTATGGGCTTATTAGAGCATACTGTATATTTTCAGAACCTAGCAAACCCCTAACATCAGTATCCAGCAACATAAGGCGACACTAAATTCCAAAACATTATCAAGTAATCATCTTCTCCCACTTGAAACTATCTATTTTCATCTTCTCCAATAGACTTCTTCGCTCTTCATGCTTCAATAATGAGAGGTCTCTGACCAGCGAGAATAAAAGAAAAATTAAATGTATTTCTATTGGTCCGAGAATAGTATTTGGACGATACATTTTTATTTTTCACATTTCTTGAATGCTATCTGTGCTTATTCCTAGCAGCATTCAAAAGCCAAAACAAATGTTCTACTTGAGTTGTATTATTGCTGTTCTGTTGTATTCTTAGCATCTTTTAGTTGATTGATTATGTCATTATAAATCAACTATTAAAATTTATGTCTCTAATACAAGTGTTTTATGGTCAATATTACTCTTTTGGCAAGTTAATAAAACTAGCCTATTTAAAATTTATTGAGGAGCCGGTTCTTTTCCATTCTGACAAAGATTACCTAATGGACTTTTAGGTAATTGTTGTGGTGTGATATCATCACTATGGTAAAGCTACTTCCAGGTGTGATTCCCAGGAACCAGAACCAAGTTCTGTCCCTTCTAATTTTTCTCCTTTGTTTGTTCTCTCTTCAAATTTGTTTCATTGTTGCTAGATAGGGCCCAAAAAAGCATAAATTAAACCTACAACTTATTGTTGTGATACTGACAACTAATATGCTACTAGAACATTGCTACAGTTCCAACATCTCTCTGAAGTTCAGCGCAGAAGCTCATCTTCAGCTCTTAGAACACCAATTCTTGTTGTTCTGGGTTAGTAGAAAAATTAATTCAAAACAAAACTCCGGTAAACCATTTCATTACTACATGTTCTAATGATCCTGTTTTCCTCTAAAGTCGATATCTTACTTTGCCCTGCATCAAAGAGATAAAATGTCAATGCATCAACATGATGATGTCATAATGCCAATAAGGAAGTCCATTCATGTGTCATCTTACAGAAGCTTTTAAGTTAGACATTCAGCTGAAGATGCCCTCTTTCCAACTTTTCCTATGTTCTTTGTTCCTACTTTTACACATGAATCATGACCAGAGTCACCTAATATGTCACTAACCACTTACATACTTTAGGTCTCCACTCGAACTTTGCTTGAAGAAGGAAAACCAAAGCATGGGAGATTTTTCCAGGGCCGATTAATAATGCTAGAACAGTAGTACCGAACAGGCTTGGAAGAAGAAAATATTTAGTTTTAGGAGATTATAGGAAATCATGAACACCAACCTTATTCCAGGACCACAGATTAATAATTTGGCTTGAAACAATGCCAACTTCTGGAAATGGCACGGCAAAACATTACCTGGGAAATTTGAGCAATTAGCAGTACTATTACCCCCTTTCTCTGGGATTTCGAACCCCAGCCCTGGTCCATGCCCTGCAACTACAAAATGATTTACTCGTCGGGACACTACAGGTAGCTGCTGCTCCGCATTGATATGGTCCCCTGTAACAGACTTTAGCTGGCCGAGAGGTTCCCCATGGAGAGGTTGAGTTCCAACCCAATAAGGCACCAATGGAGCCTGAGGCGTCTGCGAAACCAGTAGCTGACCAACTCCATGATTCTTGA